GTGTTGCTAATAAATCTCACATTGATAGAATGAGGGTACTTGCATAAGCTTATAAGTAAGTTCGCTACTCTCCATATTACTAATTGGTTTTACGGTAGGAACTTCAAACTTACTTATAAACTCATGCAATGATCTCTTCTCCCATTAATATGAAATTCATTCTCAGTACGCCTCATCACGTGTAGCGAATTTTTAAATCTAACACATAAACAACACTTTAGGTGACAGCGTTGATGACTTGGTGAGTTAAAGGTTGCGACAACCAAAAACCTTTCACACCTAACAATTCTATCAAAACCCCCAAACCGCTCCCCGTCTCGGTAGAGCTCTCCACCCTCCCCATCCTGTCCTTCTTCCCCGCTCTGCACAAACCAAATATTTTCACCTAACTGCAACCCATGAATTCAGATTCTACACCCAACTTTGCCCTCGTATTTTTACGTGTCAACCAATTTTCTTTGTCTTATTCGAAATAGTCGACTTCCAACCAAATTTCGGCATGAAAGCTGTTTTGCACCGAAGAAAGTCGAATTTGGTGGCCCAAATTTTCCATTTTATATTTTTGAGTGGAAGAATCCATTATAAAAGTCGAACATTAAATGTGTATTTTTTTTTTTTAACAAAATATATTATCTACGCTAGAAAGACTTAATAAGCTAGCAGTATTGTGGTTTAAATTCGTCTTTAGCGAGAATTGAACCTAAGACCTTTCACTTACAAGTGAAGAGAATATCACTAGATCGTAATACAAAATGGTAACATTAAATGTGTATCTTAACCAACTTAAAAGACTACACATGTCAAAAGAACATCACAACTCCACTATAACTACAAACACATCTAAATATAATATAATTTTTCAATCATTGAAGACCTTTTCTCCTATGTTGAGAACTTTTCATTGCTTTATCTCTGTGGCATCTTAATCCTTGCTTAATATCTCAACCGGTGTCTTTATTCTCGGTTCTTTTATTAAATTAATGGAAAAATCAACAATAGTATGATGGAGGACTTTTATAATATTTCCTTTATTCCAAGCTAGAATAATGAAGGCTCTTTACACCTCAGTAATTCACTCTGTTTTTTTTTTTTTTTTTTTTTTTAAATGATTAATCAGTCGTTTCCAGCACGAAGCAACCTACTGATCAAGCATCAACAAGTTTTGAAAATGAAACATTTGTAATGAAATGAGAAAGCACAAGAAGTCCCAACTTTCCAACGGTTATGGTTCCCGGAGCACCTACTACTTCTTGTCCGCTTCACCTAGACAATTTTGCACTCAAATGCTATGGAGGAGGTTGGGCCTATTTAACTAGAGAGTTATAGAGAGATGGAGAGAGGGTGCGGCAAAGAGTAGAGAGAATTGGTGAAATTTTGAGGCGTGATTTTTCATTTCATCGTGTCTTTATTTATAGTAATAGAGATATTCAATTTTTTTACCCTCAATAGAATTGTAACTCTAATAGGACAATATAAAGATAAGATATGGTAGAATCTTACAAGGATATCCTAAGATAATATAGGATTTACACGATAGTATTTCTAAACTAGTATGACTGCAACAAGGATAAATAATAGGGAGGAATAAAAACCTCTTTTATTAACTCAGTTGATTAAACCACATCATTGCTAACTCTTAGTGTATACAATATCGTTAGTTCAAAAAAAAAAAAAAAAAAAAAAACTCGATTGATTAATAACATTTATTAATTTGCCACCAAAAAAATTAATAATATTTATTATGGAAGGCGAGGTTGAGTTCGATTCTCCCACTCTAAAGATCGCTTGATTGGTGTTCCTCTTTGCTTGATTATAGGTAAGGTTGACTAGTTAGTACTACAGTATTCTAGTATTTCTCTTCACTTATAAATGAAAGGTCTTAGGTTCGATTCTTGCAAAGGACGAATTCGAAAACCAACATATTATGGTTGGTCCATTAGGATGCTTAACCTACTTCCTATTCTTGTAGTATAGATAATATCATATTTATTCCCCAAAAAACTCTTTTGATTGTATCAAAACAGAAGCTCAATACCCAACAAAGAAAAACTAAACCAAAGTTGAAGTATCTTTGGATTTTTTTTAATTTAATTTAATTTAATTTTTATGTAATGCTTGTGGCCCCACTTACGATTAACAAACACTTACTATCTGAATTTCATAATTGAAACCATCCATTATCTTTATCATCATCTAAGCATCATATTTGCAGAAAAAAAAAATCATTTAATTTGGAGATTATTTAGTCATCTATACTTAAACCAGTCAACGATTTTGCTAACAAGTAGCATCCTCTTGATGAACCGTCCATTTGCTTTTGCATATGAATAACTAAAAGATCTTCAAATTGAATAATTTTTTGGTCATCTATACGTGTTAAACTAATCAACGATTTTGCTAACAAGTAGCATTTTCACGATGAACCGTCTATTTGTTTTTGCATATGAATGACTAAAAGATCTTCAAATTGAATAATTTTTTTGCATATATGATCTTTATAATGATAAAGAAAATGAACAGTTTCTATTATGATAATCAGACGATAAATGTTCGTTAATCGTAAATGAGGGGACAAGTAAGTCCTCCCATGCGGGACACAAGCATTATCTTTTATTTTTTAAATAAAGAATCAATAGTACCAGAGACACCAACTTATTACACCACATTTTTCTCCTAGTAGAACGATAATGTTAATAGGTTAAATAATTAGTTATTAAGAAAAAAAGAATTGATAGGGATTAAACTCATAGCAAAATGCATAAATATAATTTCTTTCTGTTATGGTGCGTTTGTTGCACCGAACTGTCTCAGACTGAACTAGCTGCAGGAATTAAGCTGAACTAACTTAGACTAAACTAAGCTGAATTAACTTAGTGATGTGTTTGGTGCAGTGTCGGACTAAGAAGTAGGATAATAAAATTTTCAACATGCAATTCACAAATCCGACACCAAATTAGCACAAACAACTCAAATTGGGTCCAAACAGGGACTCTTTCTTCTTCTTCTTCTTCGGAAATTACAAGAAAGGACTCTTTCTCCATGTCATTGTCCCTGGAGCCCTGGATCACATTGCACATTGCACATTGCACACTACACAAACACACATAGCAATCTGCTTGAAACCCATCAAACAGTCAACGCAACGAGTAGAATCCAATCAGTCCATAAAATTTAACAGATTGACAAACTCTAACACATAAACCTTAACTAAATCGCATTATACAACCTGCAAAAACTCAACTTAAATTATGAAATTCAACACCTTTCAATAAACCCAGATTCCATAAATAAATAAAAAATAAAAAAACAGATGGAAAATTTTCAAAAGAACCAGAGAGAGTGAGAGACGGAGAGAGAGAGGGTTACTTCAACTGGTATTGAACGGGGGAGGAGGAGGGGCGATTTAGATGGAGGGCGACCAGGATGCTGATGAGGGCAAGCAGGATGCAGAGATGAGGGTGATGAGGATGAGGATGAGGAAGCATGGCAAGGAAGGAGCAGGGAAGGCTGGGAGTGATGGCGACGACTCTATCTTGTAGGTAGAGCGAGGTTCTCTCTCGCAGGTGGTCTTACGAGTCCGGCCAAAATTGGGGTTCTTGGCCAAGAAATCCTAACGAAGTCTTTAATCCCAACGAGTCCCATCTAATCCCATTAAACCTAATCCTTATGCAAACCAAACATGAGACTACACTAGCAATTAGTCTAGTCTAGTTCAGTTCCCCCTAATCCGGTCAAACAAACACTCCCTTAGGGGGCGTTTGTTGCGCCGGACTATCTCGGACTGGATTAGCTTCAAGGACTAAGCTGGACTGGCTTAGACTAGACTAAACTGGACTAACTTAGTGAAGCGTTTGGTGCAGTATTGGACTAAGAAGCTAGATAATAACAAATTCTAATATTATATTATTTAATATATAAATTATTAATATTTTATTATGATCTTATCTTTTTCTTCATCTTTTCCTACCATTTCCGTCCCATTCTTTTCCTCTTCTCTCATCGTCCCACCCTCTCCTTCTTTTTTTCCTCTTAGACCTCTCAATTCATGTCTCTTTCTCATTCCTGGTCAAACTCTTTATTGATTCCAGTCTCTATTTCTTTGTCCTCCCTCCCTCTCTAGCTATGCATTGTTCGAATGGAACCTCACGGCTCCAATTTTCCTGACGAGTTGCAGGTTTCCCGATGTGTTTTCCAGCCAACCCTTGTTAAATTGGATGAAGTTAGCACCACCAAAAATTCATCACCATCCCTCGACCGAGATCTTAGCTTTGAATGCTCGAATCTATCATGGATTTGAAGAAAGCCCAAACAGGCCGAGACTTCCAGGCCATTTTCCGGCCACATTCGACCACATTTTGGCCTCGATTCAGGTAAAATCGTAATCTTGTCACTCCCAACTTCAATTTGGTATATTTTATATGAAAGTTGGTTGTGAAATGGATCTGAAAGAGAGTCGGAAAGTTAATGATTGATCTAGGTGACCGGAGATGATGAGGAGTTTGTCGGGAGTGGTCGTTGAGCATGACGAGGATGAGAAAGAGAGGATAGTCTTAGCTAGTCCCATGGTTATTGGGGGGTCTCGCTAAGACCTCTTAGTGAAGGGTTTTGTCCATGCTAGTCCCCTTTAGTCTCATTAATGTTAGTCCCAGCATGGAACAAACACAGTATTGGACTAATAGCTAGTCCAGTCCAGTCCAGTCCAGTCCAACCTAGTGAGGGCAAACAAACGCCCCCTTAATGTATTGCAATCACGTGGACTAAATGGAGGCGCACCTTGATTGGGGGAAGGGTGGGATGCATCTTCTGGCAATCTGATGCAATGCATGAGATTTTAGGATCAGGAATTCAGCATCAAGATATCATATTTATATATAAAAAAAAAATTTAACAAAGGACCAATAGCGGTACTAAATAGTTATTTATTAGAGCGATTGAGAATTATTAAGATTAAATCCAGATTATAATTCATCTAAAAGTTTTCCGCAATTACCTTGCAAAACGCACCAGATTATTAAGGGCAGCAGATCAAGTTCGAAACGACACCGTTTCAACCAATGAAAGAAATTTGGTAACGGAGCCTCTCTTGTCTATCACCGAGTCACTGACCCCCCTACCCACCACTTTCCAAACCATGGCGTCGCCGCCCTGCTCCGAAACGCCGTCGTCTCCTTCTCCTTCTTCCTCAGAAACAGACTGGGGAACTACAGTCTCAGACAAAGTCTTGTCACTCTACAACTCTCTTCCCAAGAAAGGCAAGCCTCAGGGCCGCGAAGTCACCGTCTTGGCCGCTTTCCTCGTCTCCTCCCCTTCTCAAGGTCCTTCCCTAAACCCCTCCTTTTCTTTTCGCGAATTCAAGTTTCCTGCATTTTCCTGGACACCAAACAGTGCTTTAAGTAACCGTGCTCAATTGCCTCAGAACTTGAAGTCGTCGCATTCGGAACTGGGACCAAATGCATCGGGCGGTCACTGAGGAGTCCCCACGGCGATGTCGTCAATGATTCCCACGCCGAGATTATAGCTCGAAGAGCTTTACTCAGGTTTTTGCTTTTCCTCAAATTTATTATTTTTTACCATATTAATTTCGTTTGTATATTTAATTAATGTTTAGTTGCTAATTTATAGAAAATGCTTCATGTTACAAGAAATACATCAAAATTATTCGTGTGCAAGATTATAAGAATACAGTGGAACATTGTGCTAATAATATGTTCTGCTGGTTTTGTATGCTTAGCTGAAAAGTTACCATTTTTAGGGGGAATCTGCATTTACCCTTGTTCTTAACTATATTTGGTTAACTATATATGTACCTGATGTTTGTGATGTATGATGTTTTTTCGTATATGTGGGTTTGGTGGACCTAGGCTCCTCTATGCACAGATTCAGTGTCTTGCTCAAATGTATAGTGAGCAAAGTGATAACAACGGAAGCACGCAGTTTCAAAATGGCGATGCCAAAAACTTGATTTTTGAATTGGGCCCGGATGGTGATGGCGAAAGAAAATACTCAATGAAGAAGAATTGGAATTTGCATTTGTACATATCACAACTACCATGTAATTTTCTGTTCATAACTAAGGAGAATAACATATACTTTTTATTTCTTTCTCTTGTTTTTGCTCTAATTAGATTGTTAACTTATGTCAGGAGGTACCTCAGTTGCAGTTGTTTATGGTTCTTGCAGGTGGGGTTGCTTCTCCGAGTTCACTGTTGTCTCCTCCAAAAATTATTGGATCAAGAGAACGGGGTTCATCTTTGTACGAGCTTAACACTTCCATCGCAGAAGAGGTTCTGCCAAAGACTAATGGTAGTGGAATTAGAACTATTCTCTACTTTGTTTCCATTTCTTACCCCTAATGTGGTGGGTTGAGTATTTCAATAGTTGTTTCTCACCGTATCTTTTTTGGAAAAGAATCGTCCCTTGACACGAGTCTCAGAGTCATGGAGCATTTGTATGTTACTTCATTTTCAGGTGATGCTTCACAACTGGTTGGCTCAGTACAAAGAAAGCCTGGTCGTGGTGATACAACATTATCAGTTAGTTGCTCTGACAAGATAGCCCGCTGGAATGTTGTTGGAGTTCAAGGTTTGTCATTTGATCTATCATGTAGCCAATGTAGTCATTCATTCAGTCAATCCTGGATTGTGACACTTTGTTGTAAAATGCATGCTTGACTGGCCACTCCTAATTGTAATTGTAAATAAGTTGACGAGGTCATTTCATATTCTTATTTCAGGTGCCCTGCTGTCATTCTTTCTAAAACCTGTGTACCTTTCTTCCATTACCGTTGGACAATCCCCTAACAGCTCAGAAACCGTTCTCGTGGTTGATTACTTGAAAAAAGCGTTGCATGATCGCATCCTACCATTATCAAATGAGCTGATGAGTCCCTTTCAAGTGAAGCAGGTCTGTGAAATGTGTACTTTGTGATATTATACAGAAGGTTATCACATGTGTATGCTAATGCTACTGGCAGCCACTTCTATGGGCAGCTCCAACACCACCAAAGGAGTTTCAGCATTCTGAGACAGCTTTGACCACTTTAACATGCGGGTATTTTGTTATCTAATCTGAGCAATTATTTGGTCAGTACTAATTTTATGATGCTTTACGTTTTTGGTACATGATGCTCTAATGCTTTAAATCACAGGTATTCGATATGTTGGAATAAATCTGGTCTGCATGAAGTAATTCTTGGAACCTCTGGAAGAAAGCAAGGAACCGCTGCCAAGGGGCACGTTATCCATCTACTGAGTCATTATTATGCAAGTAGGGTGATAAGTATGATACAACCTTTATTTAGAAAGCCATCGATTAGCATTTTCATATTGTCTCATTGTTTGACAGAAAGCGGCTTTTGGAGATTTTCTTGTCCCTAAGACAGGAATGCCCTACCAAAATCCCTGTGAATGAGATTTCGTACCGGGAAATCAAGGTATGGTGAATACTACAGATACCAATTTGCAGACTTCTTTTTATTATATTTTATTGATCTAGGTGATAACATAGTTGTAAGAATATTATCACAATGTGATAACTAATGTTCATGACAGTAAATGATCTACCAGCTAAGTAGCACAAGTGGCTTATTTTCATCAACAGTTAGAGGTCTTTGTGCTTAAACTGACAAACGTACTTCAAAATATGTATAGAAAATATAGGAATTTTTTTATTTGTGTGTAACCGAAATTTTTTTCGTTGCTTGTTTAGTAAAATGATTGTCCTACATAATTTCAGATATCTGTAGACGTCACGTTATGCTCAACATCTTTTAGTACAAAGTTCATGAATTACTTATGCAACTATTACACGTATATTTATATTGTGGGACAGCCAGAAAATAGAGAAAGAAAATGAAGTGGTTCGTTATTAACTTGTAGCAAGGTGTGAATAACTGGATAACACTTTTTTTGAACCATCAGCTAATTTCAACTGGTTAACTTATGCAGGAAAGGGCGCAGGAATACAATTTGACCTCAAAATTTCTAAAAACAAGACATCCCTTTAGTAATTGGCCATTGAAACCACCACATTTTGAGGCATTCTCAGCCATGGTACAGTAAGGTCAGTGCATATTGAAAATCAATAGTGGTCTGTCATCTGAGTATACTAGTCTTTGTGGCCGAGTGAATTTCGCACTAATTAGGGTTTTTCAGGATATCACTGTGGTTAGATATTGATAGCTTCTGCACTTCACGGGCGTAATATAGATGGAGTGCTTTGTGTTAACCAACAGAGGAGCGGCCATTGCATCACCCGTCGCTGCTTTTAAATGACCGATCTGCACATCCTCGCCTCTTGAAACATGTCGATAGTAGGCTCGCAGTAATGCTTAGGTTCTATTGCTTACTACTGCCAATTGTGTGAATGCTTCTGCCTGCAGCTGCTGCGCAACTTTTTTCATGAACTTTTTATTGTGGCCCTTGATGAGAGTTCCTCTTCTGGTTTTAAACTTTTATTTTATCTGTTAGAATGACTATTTGAACAGACGAAAAATTAGCGGAACCTAAGAATATTATGTTGAGCTTTTAATCTGTAGTTTGTGCTGTTCTAATTCTGTCAATACAACACTATCTCCTTATAATTACAGCTTTGCCCGCATTTAGTTGTCAACATTTATTATTAATGATAGCGTTTTTAACCTTGATTGGGATTAGGAGGGCAAAAAAGCAATGATTTTGCACTAAATAGGGAATTTTTTTACCGGTCTTATGAACTTATACACATTTTTCAAACTAAATCACGCGCTTTCCATATGACTTTTGTTTGTGGGTCCCTTCTCTATCAAAGAGATGGTAAAAATGGTGATACAACTAGATGATAATAGTAGTGTTTTCTATGTGTTCCATAGGCTAAGACTTGTAATTTCATGTCCTAGGCTGGAATGAAGAGATTTGAACTTAAAATCCAAAGCAACTATGCTGATTAATACGTACTTAGAGTTTTATCGTTATTTGCACACGACCATTTAGTGACTGACAGTCTTCACTTTGTTGGATCCAAGTAAGGTTTTATCCTTCATTTTAGCTAAACAACACTCTCTTAAAGTTGACAGGAAATTTGAAACACGTTCTAACAATATTTTCTTCAAATCTCCAATATGAAAAATGCCAAGATAAACTTAAGTTTTACACCGATACAGCAGAGGAATGTATCAATCAAATTAAGTTTTAGATCTGAATACATAGCTGACCTGAAAAATAAAGTAATTAATAATTAATTTAAAATAACTCACACGACTAGGAAAATTGGAAGATAGATCATATGACAAAGTGATGGATCAATGCTCTACAGGAATGTTTAGAGTGCCCGGCCTTTTATGATATCCAAGCTCATCTCACTAGGATCTGTTGCCTGCAACTCCACTTGAATGCCTTCCAACTCCCTCTTGAATCTGTCCTTGGAGCTTGCATAAAGCATCTTACTTCTGACCCTTGATGTATCAGGTGCCCTATATATGTACATCCACGAGAAGCAATAAAATGGTCTATAGCTTGCATTAATCAATTCTAGTAGTTTTTCTTTACTTCGAAGGACTTTGATTGTCAACAATGCACAGGTGTTTGAAGAGAAAGTTTCTCTTATTAGATATCTCTGGCATGCTACGCTAGCGAATTGATATCGCTCAGAGCCTTACGTTCTACCAATTCTTCTTAATTAACTTTTGGCCTATCATATATACATGATATATATATATATATATATATATATATATATGTCGTTTAATAAGAGAACATCTTTGATTATGTTGTGTTATATGCGCAAAAAAATAAATAAATAATGAACCATACATATATAACACAAGCAACTTAATTAAAATCAATTTGTATACTTTTGTTTGAAAGGAAATAGCCAATTTATATAATTACTAACCATGCAATGAAGAATATTTTGCTTTTCTGGCAGTTCTCATTGGTTGTAAAATCAAAATCATAAACGGCATAGCGGCACTCATCGGCAGGCAAGGAGGCACTGAAATCATCGTAGCTTTCATCAGGACCTCCAAGCTTCTCTACAATCACCTGTTGTATCTTCTCCTCGATCTTGAACACAATAAATCGGAAATTTCTCTTCGCTTTTAGTTCCAAGAATTTGAGCTTACAATCATCGTGCACAGCCATTCCAGACGCCGCGTTTGCCTACCCATCAATGTCACCGAAAAGTATAATGTGATCATAAAATTAAAACAGTCTAACCACATAACATGTCAGGCCATCTAGTGGTCATAAAACAGTTCAACAACATAACATGTCAATGCTATCTGGCGAGAGACGCATGCTCAAAGTGTTACACATCCCAAACACCATGATGATTGGAAAACAAGGTAGCACAGGAGAACAGTTCCGTAGCATCAAATTCGAAGGTAGAAATAGACTCGAAATGTTATATGATCATAAATATTAAGAAAACAAATGATAATTAAACTCAGATTACTACATTAGTAACTCAATCCGATAACATTTATGATTTAATCACGTATGCATTTTCATAATTATGATAGATTCTCCCTCATCCTATATCTTCACAGACAAATAAAAAAACTTGTAGCTAGAGAGGAGAATGAGGCATGCTTACCATGGTGCTCCTCTATAGAAGATGAACCTTGTGGAATGAGAAAAAGAAAATGCAGTAAAAAGAGATAGATGCGACAGATTTGCAAAAATCTCTGATTTTGATAACTACATGAGAAAGTGAGTTTGGAAGGAAAAGAAAGGCAGGGGAGGAGAGATTTTTGTGGGAGAAAATGGGGGTTGGTATTTTCTTGGGATTTTTTTTTAATCTTAATTAGTTAGGCTGATTACGTCAAATAGTTGCCACGTTAAGGGGAGCATTTGGATGTCTTTTTGGCCAATAATTAAATGTGATTAAGATTTTGTAATCAAAGGGGTACATTGTTTGGGCGTTTTGACCATGTTTTCATCTCCCATATTAAGATTTCCCAAACCTTGGTCTTCCATGTACTTCGCAATTCAGTTATGTTGTTAGAGGTGGCCACTATGGGGATCCAACTAGGGTTTGAAACTGCATGACTTATTAACTTTAAGTTTAAGGCGCTTGCATATGACACCCATTTCATGTGGGGGCTATGAGGATGTGTAATGTTCTCGTGAGAAGCTTTGTATGTACTTAGGAAAAGTTGGGGTACTTTTTAAATTATCGATTAGTTTTATGATGAAATTATATATTTTTATAGGGTAATTTTGAATGTGGTCCCTATTTATTAACATTTTTTGATTGGAAACATGTTGATTTTCGGTTTTTTAATTGAAGTCTCTGAAATTAATGCAATAATACATTTCTATGTAGGTTATTATAATTTGTAAATTAAAATTTGATATTTGTAGTTATTTATATTAATGAGATTTTAAATAAAATCCATAATTTGTTGAAAATGTTTAAAAAATATATACTTAAATAAACCCATGATTTGTCATTACTTGTATTAATGACATTTTACATACGAAAAATTAATAATTTTTATACGATACATTTTACATATAAAAAGTTGGTACATTTTATACAAAATAAAGGTGATACATTTTATATAATGCGTACATTTCATATAAAACAAAAAAAAAAAAAACAATGGGTATATTTTACACGAAAAAAAGAGATGGTACTTACAAAAACAAATGGGTACATTTTACATATAACAAAGTGGTATGTTTTTAAAGACAAATAGGTACATTATTAATAAATTATGGGTACAAATAAAAGGTCAAAAAATATGAATACAAATAAACGTTTGAAAAATATGGACACAAAAAGAAATTAATATATGGGTACAAACTAAAACTAAATAGAAAATTGACACAATTTGAATAAAGGGTTGCAAATTAAAATGGGTACCAAATAAAAATAAAGATATATGATACAAAATTTAGCCATAAATATAAATATATCAAATGTAACATTTCTAACACTAAATGAATAATTTATAATTAAAATTTAATTATCTTGATATGTAAAATATTTTATTATTGAAATAATTAATGATGTTTACTAAAACCAAGGACCTTGATTAAAAATTAAAAAGGAATAAGGTTTCATTCAATGGAGTTTAAAAAGAGGGATGAAAACCTAATTTCTCCATTTTTATATCAGAGCAGATTGCTATACGTGTAAAGTCCAGTGCCTACACACATGAACGTCACTTAATTATGTGTTGTCTATGTGTTGGCTTAAGCGTGATATGTTATAAACTAGCACTCATATTAAACCCTTTTATTGACAATTGTAGTAAAGATGTAAGTAGGCATCGTTCTAGGCCGGGAATTAGGAGGGATTGCTAATCTACTTAAAACTGACTCAAAAACATAAAACTAAGCTTAAAAACACTTAACTAGACTCAAAGAACTCAAAACAAACTAAAGAGACTCAAAACAGCACAAAATAATCAAATAGACTCAAACTAGACACTAAAGGTTGATTTGGACGAAAATTGATTTTAACTTGACTCAAAACACTTAAAAGCACAAGTTTGGACAGATTCTAACTAATTTGACACAACAAAGTAAAGGGGATTGGGTTTTTGACGAATTTAAAACTTAAACAAACAAATTGCAGAAACTAAGTAAAGGGATACTAATTTGGGTGAATTGATGGGTGATATGCTAGCTAGAGGGTTCTTCTCCACACATGACACATATGCATACAAATCGATTTTCAATTATTATTCCAATAAACAATGAACCTCAACGCCCCAGATTAATCGTGAACAACACTAATTAACCCTCAAATTTTTCTTAAGTCATTAAATTGGATGGAATACGCATCGGCAACCAAATTATTCTTCAATAGTTCCTTACATGAACAACATAATAGAGATACAATCAAAGATCATTAAGCTTTGTGAAAATCATAAGCATTGACAAGGCATTCGTAACTATGTAAAGCATGATACTCTTGCCAGGAATTTACTTAACACGATTGTGACTAGCAACCTCCACTACTTGCAAATATAAGTTCATAACGATTAGGTGAAAATGCCTTATATTTTAGCATCAAATTCATGCATGCAAACTAAGTAGGCGTCCTTAATCAACATACAAGAATAAGTTATCAATCAAGCAGTTAAGGAAATTTCATTCATGATTGATGAAACAATAATTGGATGAAATCAATTCATATCACATATATGTTCATGGCTTTGAATTCTCCTCTAGCCAAAATGAAATTAGTTCCTCATATTCGCACTTAAACAAAGAAAACTTAAATTAAACATTGAAAACAAAAGATAGAATACACCTAAGAACGTTCCAACAATCCAAAACTTGAATGGCAAGCATGGCTCCAAGGGTCTTCTCTCTTTTCTCCTTGAAAAGTTGCAGCACAAGGTGTGTGTGTGTATGAAATTGGGTGATGGTGTGAGATTGATAGGTGGTGCGGCTTGTGTGTGTGAGGGATGGATGGCTGAATGAATGAATGGTTTCTCTTTTCTTGTGGCAGAATGTATTTATTTTAGGGAGAAAAGCATGGCATTAATTAAATGTTTTGGGAAAGATTTGGACCCCAAATCCTCAAGGAAAAAAAGGTAATTAAATTAGAATCCAAGAGAGAAAAGGATAACAAGGGTGCGGCAAGGAAAAGAAAAGGGGAAAGGTGGTATCTTGCACGGCAAGGGAAAGGGAAATGGCAAAGTGGTGTGGCAAGGAATGGGAAATAGTAAAAGGTCTTCTAGAATCATTATTTAAGGATCCTAAAATAATTAGGGATCCTCCTTGCAGCTGGAACCTAGGTAGTGAAGGATTAGGATTGACTAAGTCAAAATAAGGAAGTTTGACTCATGTTTCCTTCTTTCTTGTTGATTTCTAGCCCTTCTTGAATTAATTTCTTCAACCCTTTAGCATATTCCTAGCCCTTCTTGAACTTCAATTTCGTCCATCCACCCTGCTCCATGCATGTGCGATCCATTCCAAGCCCAAAACTGCTCCAAATTGTCTTTTCTTGCCACTTTAGCCAATTGAACATACAAACACATGAAAATAGCTTAAATCACTATAATAAATAGAAACTAACAACATAAATGCAAGAAAACAAGCTAACTAAGTCACATAAATATGCTCCTATCAAAGCGTCACCACACATGAGAAGACGTGTGAGAATGTATAATGTGGTCTCACATCGAAAAGTTAAGAAACCTTACATATACTTATAAAGAGTTGGAATAAGGAGTTAGACTAGCTATTCCCCTATTGATAATTGGCTTACTGTGAAACCTCAATTTCTTACGGTTTGTGTTAAAACCACTCAATTTCTTTAAGGGCTTGTGTTAGAACCAAACAAGCTACGAATTGATCATAGAATTGAAGACCAGTTCCCATCGTGTGTGTACATGTTATTTTTTTCCAAATAGTCCAACACATTGTAATATTACATGGTCAATAAAAACCTCACGTTTGGAGAATGTATTTTGACAAAATTAAGATCTTGGTTGACAATCTAAGATTATAATATATCATATTTGAGTGTAAAATTTACTCATGAGTCATGACATACATGGACATGTATGATTTACCTTTCTTAATATTACTGGGTTTTCAATATGAATTATGTGTCACAAACTCAAGATATAAGTTCATTTGTTTTATAACTAGTGAAGTTAAAAGAGGCACTATGTACATCTCGCGGATATACTAATTAGGCCAAGAAGAACAATATTGTCCCCAGTTTGACATTACTACCTCACACGAAATATGCAGATTTTTTACTTTCTTCTTGAGCAAGGCAGCTACAAGGATAGGTGCTCTACAAAATACATAAAAAAGATGGAGACGAATACGGGATACAAGAAACAAGTGGCATGCATTCTTCAGCTTGTCTCCCGCAAGCAAAATTCTTGAATCTGTCACTACTATTTACAATGTTTAGATTTAACCTATAGTCATATGATTCTCATGGATTTTTTTTTCTCTCTCTACGTAGATTGAAAGTTAATTACAAGCTCACCCAAAGATCAATGGAAGCCCAAAATCTTAGCTTAAAAATTGTTCAGGTTTCAGCCCACCTTAAAATTTAATCAAAGTTGGGCAATGTCTAGCAAAGTCCGTATGGATGAGTTTCAACTTTCAAGGAATCGCACTAGCAAAATGATCAACTTTAGAAAGTGAAGCTTGTGGTATGCATGATTGTC